CTCAGTAATTTTATCAAAGGTCTTAGGAAATTGATCAGTAAATGAATACCAGTCTTTAACTCTCTTACAGATTCTGTACAGATCCATTTCCCTAATATATAATGTTTACTCTAATACTACACTTGACTTGACAAAGTAGCATTCGGATCAGCATACCTGTCTCCTAGTTTATTCACGTAGTTGTTCCCCCATTATTGTACAAACCAGGAAATGAACAGCCTGAACTCAATGAACCCATTCCTGTCACTCGTGACTTTGCAATAAAATAGTACACTCTCCATGTGATTTTGATGCAATTATTTGTTCAGTTCTTGCATATTCACAAACCTCTTTTTGTATGTGATGAAGCATGATGAAGAGTGAATGAGTCTTGTTGAGCAGCTTGTGTATGGCCTTGATGGTTGGTGAACTGGTGTAATTGTTTGCGTGAGCCTATTGTCACAGTGTTTTATTGATCGCACCATTATGATTTGTGAGCTGCCACTGCATGGATAATCATTGGCCAGACTAACAGTCACAAACCCTCCCTGTCCCGTAAAGAGAACATCAGACTACTATTGTGAGGATATTTATTCTTTACCTCCATGAGCTCAGAAAACATAAACACATTAAAGGAGGGAGCGAGAACTCTAAGCAATGTGCATGTTTTGAACCAGTGTTAAATTTAGATTATATAGCCAGAGAAAGTTCTGCGTTAAACCCAAAAGTATATGCAAGCATCTAATGAACTAGGTCCAGGTCTTTACCCTCTCAGTTGCACCACAGAAATTGTGTGACATCAAGGAGTGGACAAGCTCCTAGGCTTACTCCAAAGAGCATTGCACTAATGCAATCTGCTGAGCTGGTGGCAAGTGAACCTGTTTGATTCAGAGTGAAGCACAATGGGAAATTATCTAAGTCTTAGAGGATCATGTTCAATCTGGAGAAATATTTTAATATTTAGTCATTCATTGGCTGCTGGAAGTGGAACTGACCTCCTTTCCCCCAATGAGGTAATGTATCAGGGGACAGGAGCACACTCCATATTTGAGAATATATTTTTAAGGGTTGGAAGGATAGAGATTATATGAAAAAAAATTGTTCATTTCCAAAGGATTGTAGGGTTGTACAAATGGAAAAATGGAATGTCAAGTTTATTTCAAGTCTGAGGTAGAAGTTTACAACTTCTTTCTCTGTATTGTTCATCTTAGTACCTTATTTTCAGATAATTTGATAGAATTCTATTTTGTTAATAACTCTTCTGCCATGTTTGTGCTGTCTGAGATGTGGTAAGCCAAGACACAATGCAGGTCCCTGGGGTTCTTCTGGATGAGATCATCTCATTCCTTATTTATGAACAGCAAGAGAGTGGCTTCAATATTAAGCTGCTGTGTAATTTCATTCCTGACACAATACGACCTTTGGATTTTGCAATATTTCTACAAATCATCCATGTAAATAAAGTGATAAAGATACAGAAAGGACCTACTCTGAGTGAAGTTAGTTTGGGAACAGCTGGTGATATTTTTATTTTGAAGCCTGTTGTAATAACCAGAAGGTACAATTGTTTAATTGGTCTAATGCAGGATGTTGGTGGCTGCCGCTAATCACAAAATGCATTGCTGAAAATGGTTCATTTTATGGTCAAAGAAAATACATAACTGACTTGTGAGCATAAATAACATTTTAATTTTGTAGTCGTATACCGGTCGGTCCATATGTTTTAATTTGCAAGCTCACTATAAGTGGTGATCAGAATTTTTTTTAATTCGTCACAGATTTTGTGGATTAAATTGAGTTCATGAAGTTTTGAATTTAAAATTGTAGGTGGCTTAAAGTAGTGAGGTATGGTTTTTGAATTGTTTTAATATTAGACTTCTGTTTTTTTCTTTTATCCTCCTCCCTTCCCCCACCTCACCATGCACAGATACTTACTCGCGAGGACAACTAACCATAAATGTTAATGTTGTTCGGCATGTCTCTTCAATTTAAGGCATTTTATATTAAACCAAAATATAGTTGAAACTGGACTAATTCTCAGAAGTGTAAGTGAGGTAACCTTTTGAAGCGGGGCATTAAATTCAATTATCCAGAAATTGCATTTCCACTGAGATTAGAATGATGCTGCCAGACACAATAAAAGCATTAGGTCACATCCATTGCTAATTGAAAGCTTCCATTAGTCAGAAGAAAGAGATACAGTCACGTGATGATTTTAAATCATGTCCATGTTTAATATTTTAATAAAATTAACTTAATCTTTAGCATGTCAGATCTGCTAAGTGTAAGTGTGATTTACATTTCTGTAACCAATACAGTACTTCCTGAAATTTGAGTTTAATCCAATTGGCGAACAAGTCCAATCCTTTGGTAGAAGTTACAAAATGGTGTGGTTTGTGGAGCACTTATGGCGTCTCGTGAGAGAAAAACAGTGCTAGTAAACTCAGTATATTAAATGTTGATCTGAAAAATAAATCATGTGGTATAATGAGTATTGAATAAATTAGTTTAATTGCAAGTAGTTGTGCATCATTCATGAATGAGCTTTACTTTCTACCCCACATCTATTCCTTGAGCAGGATCGCTTTTTTCCACCTCCTTCACATTACCTACCCCTGTCTGTACCTCAAAACCAACGCAGCTGAAACCCTCGTCCATGCCTTTGTCACTTCCCAGCTGGACTTTTCCAATGCTCTCCTCGCTGGTCTCCCCTGCTCCACTATACAGAAAATGCAATTAATCCAAAACTCCGCCTCCCGGATACTCACCCTCACAAAACTCCGGACCCCCATTACACCAGTCCTCACCAGGCTCTACCGACTTCCATTACCGAACCGATCGATTTCAAGATCCTCTCACTTGTTTTCAAATCACTTCATACCCTTGCACCTTCCTACCTATCTGATCTGCTTACTCCACTTCCCACTGCCTCTACTCGGCTCGTTCTGGCCTCCTGTTTGTACCTACTTAGAAACTCTAAATGTTTGACTTAATGTCAAAGCATATTCTTTCCATATTAAAAAAAACTGTCTTGGCCTCCCTGTAATGGTTTGGCCACAAATGGCTATTCTCTAACAGTAATGCCAAGTTAGATACAAGATCTTTAACATAAAAGAACACTGAATTTATATCAAGTTACATAAAGGAACACTGAATCCCTAATTTGTGATCTTTTGAGAAGTGATTCACATTTCTCTTTGTGACTAGTCATTGAGTGGGATTTATAGGAATCTTGGAGTGAATTGATTATAATATTTCTATAGCTTTTGCTGTATTAAATGAATAATAACTTTAATTCACATTTCAAAAAAAATGAGCCTATATTGGTTAAGTATTAAAGTTAATTTGTTCTTCATAATAACTAGGTTAAACATTCCAATTGATTCAGCATTGGCTTTGGTTTCCGGCCATTGATTTGTGAATACTTGGATATAAGACACTTGAGCCAAAATCTGAACACATCTCTGGGATTCAGTGTAATTTTGCTTTGTTCAAATGTTTCAATAGCAACATTGAAAACTGGTTATTGTTGCACTTTCAAAATATTGTATCTCAAAAGCCACTTGTAGCTGCATGTCATCTTATCTGTTTATAAAGCTTTATTTCCAAGTCCTTTTCTGAACAGTGTTCTAGTGATTTGGCACAATCCAAGCATTTGTATTCCTTTATGTCTGATTTTTTTTCTCATTAGCATTACATTGGCATCTTCTTTGAAAAGACTTTATGCTGGAAATCTACAGCAGGCAATTAGCATTTGAANTTTTTTTCCACATGTGGAAATTGAGTTACTCTTCTTCATGCCTATGGTGATTGTCGCTAACTACATGACTTGTGTTCAAACTCTATGTCAAATTTAACTGTTTTGGATAGTTTGTGGATTTTGTTTATTTTGTGGATACAAATTTATGCTTGGACACTGTCTATCACGATTGTGCACTCTGGCCATTTTCGCTTATCTTTAATGCTATCAAAGTCCTAATTCATTGCATTATTTTGGGCATGTCCAATCCGTTCTCCTTCATGGTTTGGAGTTCCTGGACATGCAACGGACGCGTTTACATTAGCACATTTGCAAAGCCCAGCACCAAGCAGTGAAAGTGATTTATTGTAACCAGAAATGGCTATGAAGCGATAGGGATTGATAAGAGATACATTGGCTTATCGCTCACCACCCTGGATGCAGTGGCAATTTCATGACAGGCATGTCTTTAGACAAAGTCCTTTGCGTGAGAACCTAGTTTAAGCAGTTGGTGACTTGTAAATCTGGTACTAACAAGCCAAGACAACTAATATCATTCTGAAACAGAAATGGGTTGTAAACTTCATTCTTGATTGAGACATTGGCTTGTCTTATCACTGAAGGAAAAAGTGCCACATGTTCTCAGGTTGTCCGGTTTTGTCTGCACCTGCCTACAGTCACTCATTCATTCCTTGTTTTATCAGCTGAGTGTTGACTTCTTTGAAAAGGATATTGTCATTTACAGAGAATGAAATGAATAATGGTACTTTTAACTTTGGTTGAAGAAAATGAGTGGCTAAGCATTTTTCTCGAGGTGCACTTCCATAAGTTGTGTAAGTAAGAAGATTAATGTATCTATTTTGATGCATTGGATGTATTCTTAATGAGGTTAGGATGCCCATCCGTTCCTATGCTTTAGGGCTTTGATAATGTCCTGTTAGGAACAGGATAATTGCTCCATTTCTGGGCATTGTAAGTTCCTTCCTGTCACACTTAATGTGGCCCCTTGCTGGTTGCCAAAAAATGACCATTTGTTCATCCTTTTCTAACTAAGATGACTTGGAACAAAAAGAGTTTAAAAATGTACCATTGTGCACATTGACTTGCTACAGAAACAATCCTAGAACAGTGCACTGTTGACTTATTTTAACATCCATAGAGCCATAATACTACACTAAATGAGATTTCCCTTTAAATTGAATGTTAAGTTTCTTAATAGTTTAGCTAAAATCAAACATACAATGTTACCTTTGACTAACATCCCTTTTTATTTTTTTTCTAGGATCAGTTTGACAATATAGAGAAACACACACAATGGGGAATAGATTTCGTGGAAAGATATTCAAAATTTGTGAAGGAGAGACTAGACATAGAACAAAGCTATGCAAAACAGTTAAGGTAAGATATATTGCTGAATATTACTTATTTTTATTCACTACAATGTGAGGATTTTTTTTCATAATAATTCAGATTTTAGTTTTGCAGCACCTATTTCCCATAAAGTATAAAAATCTTTGTCTACATGCCTTTAAGTGTAACTATTCGTAATATAATATGATTTTTCTGCTTAAAATCATATCATGAGATTTAGTCTAGAATTTTTTTAAATTATGAAATTATTTTAAGTGTTTGCCTTTTGGATGGACAGGAACTTTGAAATGACAAGTTTGTACAATGAGCACCCTGATATCAGCTAGAGCAGGTTAATTTAGTAAACCAAATCCATTTTTTAATGTACGATATTAATATCTTAGTGCACCTTAATGCAACAGATTCCTTTTGTTAAATCTGAATTTCATTTTGAAGCTTTTGTAGTCGTCTTCTGCATAAGTTATTTTATTTCTCTCCTCCAATACCACACTATCCATGCTTGTGCAGATGAAAATAAGAACTCATTAGTATGGTGTAGCCTGTCTTCCCCCACAATCTACGTAATGTGTGTTGGCATTGCATAAACATCACAGAGTCCTTCACGGTCAATAAGTTTGACAAAGGTTCACAGATCACTCTCTGTTGGGAAAGGAAAGGGCAATTATTCATGATAAAAGTATTCATAAATATTGTTTAGTGGATTGGTTCTGAGTTAAATGTGTGGCCTTGCAGTGCTTGAATTATCACCAGATTAAGAAAAGTAAAGGGGAAGGGATTGTTAAATTTTCCATAGCAGCATAAAATCATTCATTCTGGAACAATGTGGATAGTTGCCCAGTTCCACAACAGTTCGCACCTTTAGCGACAACACCATAGGAATGATAATGAGTTGAGCTTTGTTTTTGCTGTTGTGATAAAGAAGCTGAGTTCAATAAAATTGTGGGAAAAAGATCACAAATTCTGTTGGGAACAAAAGAGTGTGATTAAAATAACAATCCTTGCATTTGATTTCCCCCAAAATTGTGAATGTTACGGTTCATAGTGGATGAGAGAAACTTATTTTCTGTTTGTTGTAGTGAATTTTAAAGATTAAATAGTATCAACCAGAATCAATTTTAGTTCCTCCCTTCACCTTGGTCTCAAACCAGATAATCTCCCTTTTCCCAAAGCAGGTATCAAAAGTGAACAAAAAGGTTAATTTCAGTCTCAGGGAAAATAATAAAGCTGTCTACTGTACTGGTGAATGTCTGTATTGTAGATCAAGCACAATTTCCCTCGCAGCAGTTTTACTGCTCCAAGGGGAAACCAGAATGATACTTTATATTAATACTGACAGCACTCTGGTTGTTTTGCTTTTGGGTCCAAAGGTGAAGCACAGCTGCACAAGAGGCTGCTGGTATTGGGGGGAAAATGCTTGTTTTCTTGGAATAGTTTCTAGAAGTATTATTTTCAAATTTGTTGGTTTTATAAAGTTGACTAGCTTGAAATGGATTTCCGACTCGTTACAAGCTAGGATTTGCAAGCGTATTTTTCTTCCCTATTTGGCAATAACATCTCGTCAAATTCTGGGGTTCACAGATTTTACCTGTAGTTGATCTATTCAGGCTTGATACAGACTATTAATGCTTTCAACGACTTGATTTGTATAGGTGCATTTCAAGAACGTTTTCAATTTTTTTTGTCTCTACAGAAATCTTTATAAGAAATACTTTCCCAAGCGTTCCAACAAAGATGAGGAACCCAGGTAAAGACCAGACTAATAATGATGACCAAATAATTTTTTTGCAACAAAATCTCATACACAGAAATTTTTTTAATTTTTTGAGGCTAATAGCTTCAAGTAAACTTTTTTTTAACAGTGGAGAACTATATTTCACATTTCAAAGTCACAAATTCAATTCAGTTCTTCACAATTGAATTCACTATTAAATCAGGAGCGTTTCATGTACAGAAAGTGTTGATATCCCCAATTATTTTTGCTAAACCATAATATCGGAAATAGGCTCTATTGGTGAATTGGAACAACGTGCTGAATTTAATTTCAAATAAAAATTAATTGCATGAAATTATTTTCCACAATTTCTCTAGAGAAAATTGCAATATAAGGGATTATGGAACTTATTTATCATTAACAATGACAGAATTATTAAAATTGGGCAAAATTAGTTTTCGATTCTTCTTGATTTTATACAGATCTGTACCAGTTCTGTAATAGAGAATTGCCCTTTTCTTTTAAAATTTAATTATTACTGTTTCTGCAGGTTTACTGCATGTCAAGCCTTCTTTCATGTGCTGAGTGAGCTCAATGACTATGCAGGTCAACGTGAAGTTGTTGCTGAAGAGATAGGCCACAGTGTCTATGGAGAAATCATGAGGTATACTCAGGACCTCAAAACGGAACGGAAAGCAGTAAGTATTCCCCTTTCACTTAATTTTTTCCTTTTTTTGGTTAATGTATTTTGAAGATATAAAGTGCTTACTGAGTTTCCATTCGGCAGCAGTCCAGTCACCATGTTAATGTATTAAAATACAAGTTTTTTTCAACCTGTTTTTAAATAAAAACTATGTTGTACATATTTCAAAAGGAAGTGCAAACTTTGTTTTACACAACATTTAAAGAAGTTTGCATCTTATAGCTACAGAGTTGAAATTATTTACTAGCTGACCAACAATTAAGTTATTGTAAATGGTAGGTTTTTAAGTTCAATTGTTTAGAATGCATTGGTGTTTGAAAAATTATCTGTATGGTGGCTGCACGACTTTGAAAAGTTAAAAAAAACCCAAACCCTAATGGTGAGGAGTATTAGAAAGTCCTTCACATTTACAAAAATCACTGTGAGCGATTGACGAGCACATTTTGATACACAATTGTTCCCTGTCCCGAAAGCAGTAGCTCAAACTGTACGAAAGTCTGATTTTCCCTGCCAGTTGCCATTCTTTAGGTTTGAACCTAATTGCTAAGTGTTGGTAGGCTACTTTATTGTGGGAAATAGCTTCGACCGTTGTGAATACACGCGAACAGTATCTGGGCAAGGGTTATTGGTAGCCATCAGAAATAGGAATTCTCATCTGTTTCTTCCCTTCTAAGGGTGCGCACTCTGAGGCCAATTATAGTGCCCACTGCAGAAGATGTATTTAATTTTAAGCCTGCTGCTAAAGAGATGTTTTTGATTATGAAGGAAAGTGGATTACTCAGTGGAATATCATTTGGTGGCAAAGATTCTAAACCCCTGATTTGAGTCATCAGCATTCCTTATGTGGTTTTGACTCATTCATGGTTAGCTATTGAATATCCTCTTCAGAATGTGCTAATTTTGGTGACTTTTGCCGTTGTGATTTCTGCAAAAAAAACACAGGCAATTCCATTTGACCGCATTTTTCTTCATCTTTCCGGCTCCTGTCCCCAATTCAGATGCCCAGCCTGTTCTGTTAAGCTCTTTTGGATATCCTTGCACTGTGAAAGGCTCTACATAAATGAAAAAAAATTGTGGAGTGTGGAATATCATAATAAATGGCAGGTGAATAGTGTGCTCCAAAAATATTAAATGTTCATTCTGCAGTAAAAACATCCACAACCAAACCATTCAACAGATTGAAAATTAAGCGAACGCATAGCTTATAACCTGCATCAAAACATCTACATCCCAAACTTCTTTGTGTTTTGTGCAAGAGCAACTTAAGCAAGCATGGAAAAAGAAAAAGGCCATTAAGACCATTCTCTCTGCAGACCATGTACAATCTGCTCTATCATGGACTTTGCTCCAACCCCTCAGTCTCTTGAGGTGAGGCAAGCAACCACAGGTAAACGTCCCCAAAACTCTGTGAAACGTCTTCCCTGATTCCCAAGGATAATAAAGCAAAACTCAAGAATATTAATCCAGTTTTTAAACCAACCCTTATAATTCTGACATGTTGTTTCCCACCAGTCCCAGTGGTGCATGAACCATCATATTCCCTACTCAGAGTATTTGATCATTTGTGTCTGTGCTTATCCTTCTAACCTTAAATGTTCTTAAACAGATGCTTATTCAGCTCTTTTGGCAACAGTTAATTGACAGCATTAACTGCTTTTGCTGGCTGTTTATTTCATTCTGTGTGCGTGTGTGTGTGTTTATATGGAGGGAGAAGAAAAGATTGGGGAAAATTAGTTTCTTATAATCTCTTCAATTTGTACTCTTGTTCTCTATTTTTACAGTATAGTTTCAAGGAAAATAGCCTGATATATGTCTTATGTTTGAAAGGTGAATTCAGAATCACTGTATAATTTAGGTGCTCTTAGATTTTTAAAATTTTAAATTTGTGAATGAATTCATACTAGAAAGATTTTCTACTAGAAAGATTTTCCAGTCTTCCTTGTTCATTTTGACTTTACAGAAATTCAAATATGAATTATACATTTATCCAGATAAGTCCACATCCAGTAGATTTAGTGTTCAGTAGCTGTTTTTCCCTTTCTGTGTCTTGAGTTGTTGCTATGAAGTTAGAAAAGGTATTATTGACAGAACAAAAGGAAACTATGATAAAAAGAATGCACTGAATGTTTAATTTAGGTCAGCCTCCTGCTTCATCTCTTGGGTGCATTAAATATTCCTTAAGTAATGATTTTCTGTAGTTCAGTTGAAATCAGTTTTGAAGTGAAGTACGAAAGGTGCAAGAAGGAATATATAATTCTAAAATTTGAAACTTAGTCTAGGTAATCAGAGGTATCATCCCTTGGAAGCAAGGTAGACCTAGAATGAATCACATATAGATGCTAACCTCACTTATTTATTTTTGACAGCATCTTCAGGAAGGACGCAAGGCACAGCAATATCTTGATTCTTGCTGGAAACAGATGGATAATGCAAGTTTAAATTTTTTTCTCGATAATTTGGAGTTTTTGGAGCATCACGTTAAGAAACACAGTCAAGAGACTACTGTGGCTCTAGCACTTGTCATTGTATACAATTCATGTTAAATTATTTGCAATAAATTACTACCTTACACTTCTTACTTTGTACAGGAAGCAAAATAATAATACATTGGATTTTCAAGATGGCTTTAAATTAATACAGGTCAGATTAAGGTAGCCAGCAGGATCAAAATCATGAGACATTGTTTCAGACCATTTTGGCTGAACTCTTAAGCCCCTAATGTTAAATACAAACTTTTGTTATTTGGCTTGTCTTCTATTTTGTAATGATAGAGCATGTGCCAAAACCATGCATAATTTAAATTATTGAGCATTCTTGCTTTATTAAAATATTTTTGCCTAGGCATGTCCTACATTCTTTGCTATTCATTAAGAATTAACCACTACCATGTGTTCACAAGAAGATAGCAAAAAGATCTTAAATGTTGATTTAAAGCCTTAATTTTGAAGAATTTTGTGGTCAAACTTTTCTTTTTCTTTCAGAGTAAAAGGAAGTTTGAACGAGAATGCAAGGAAACGGAAAAGGCACAATTAGGCTATGAAAGACTAGACAGCGATCACAATGCGACAAAGGCAGATGTTGAGAAGGTTGGAATCTTAACAGTTCTACAAATGCTTTATTTCTGTCTGAAATTGTTTCAAAATTGGAATTAGTTTCAGTCTTGTAGATAAACCTTTTTTTGTAGTTTTAACAAAACTGAAATGACAAACGTGTATGTAGAATGTGAGGGTGTGCAATGATTAATTTATTTGACGTATTCCATTTGTGTTCAGTGTGGTTTTGAATCCTGATACCATTTGACCCTTTAATCTGTCATAAGCATGTATTTGAATTTCATTAGTTCATAGCTAATGTAAAACACGGGTGGATCATTTACAAATTGAAGCTATTATTTGGATATGAAAAATCAGGACCTAGATCACATCTCAATAAGTAGGATAAAATTGTTCTGGAAAAGCTTCAGCTACTCCCAACTTGCGATCTCCAGCCGGGAAAAGAGGTCAGTGCCGAGTTAGGCACATGTATAAATAGATAAATCAATGCGGCTAGGATATTGACAGCGTGACAACTTAACCGACAGGGACAAGTTAAGCCAGGGTGAAGTTATCAGGAGTTTACTGTAAATGGATGAGTGACTGACAGCAAAAAAAGGAAAGAATTGTAAGAAATGCAGATTTGAGATGGAAAACAGATGTGAGTATCTTTACTTTTTGAATTCCAAGGCTAAACAACAGTTACACGTGCGTACCCACGCGGCTGATGAATGTAAAAATGAATATGCTGCTCAACTACAAAATTTCAACAATGAACAACAAAAGCATTTCCAATTCATCATGCCTCAGGTTTTTAAGGTAACCTCATTTTAAATTACCTTCCATTAGATTTGCATGGGAAGGGTGGATGGATTTATAAAATATATTAAGTATTTTGACTTGCATGTGTTCTAACTGGTAAGTAAGCCAAGACTGAATTTTAACTGAGTTTGTTTACAGGACATTCTAAACAGACATTGCTATTAATTTTACAGAATCTACAAGCCATGGATGAGCGAAAAACTGAAAAACTAGCTGAGTGTTACAGATACTTTGCTGAGGCTGAACGTAGAGTTATTCCGATCATTAATAAATGTTTAGAAGGAATGATCCATGCAGCAAAATCTGTGGATGAACGGAAAGTAAGTATTGCGTAAGTCTGAGGAGAATGTGATAATCTCTTGGGCGCACAAAATACTGGAGGATATATTTTCCAGCAGAAATAAGCAATACACATTTATTTTCTTAATTTTTCTTATTTTTTTCTTTGTTTCTTGGAGGTAGTGGAGGGAGATGTTAATCTTTGGAATCTTTAAGATGAATGGAAGATTAATATCTCAGAACATTTACAATACTGTACAGAAAATAACTAAATAAAAAGGAAGTGCTATCTTTTCAGTGTAATCTGAACAGCAGGTTTGATGGTTGTTTGACATAGACTGCTTCCCTTTCTTGTTAAAATTGTTTTTTTTTAAAAAGCTACAAAGGGTGGGAAGGTGAAACAGAAAAGGCAAAATTATAATTAAAACATTGACTTTTCAACGGCTATGGTTCAAAAAAAAACATTTTTTAATGCTTTTTTCACTTAAGTCGAGTCCTTTTTTTACTATGGTAATCAGGCAGTAAGGTTATACAATTTACCTCAGCTTAGTGGATTAGTTGGCGAGAAGCCCTTTATCAGGGAGAGACAGATGGGTGAATTTGTATTACCCTCTCCAGTTCAGCAAGGAAAACGAGCAAACAGTCCTCAGTGTCTTTATTATTGACCATTGGGGTGAGATAAGAAGCCATATCCTTTTTACGTTTTACCAGTAGAAATTAAAAGGGTTTTCCTCCCGTTACTGTTGACAAATGTGACCAAAGTTCTATGTTTTATTTACATAGTTTTGCTATTGCAGGAAAAAAGTTCTATATGAGAATGCTTTTTTGTGTTTTCTTTTTTGAAACGATAGGTGGTTAAGATGTATTTAACTTGAACAATTGCCTTCACAGGACAGCCAGATAGTGATAGAATCTTTTAAATCGGGCTTTGAAATTCCTGGAGATTTCCCATTTGAAGATTTCAGTCAGAACATTTATAGGACAGTATCGGATGGCAGTCTGAGTGCGCAAAGAAACGAAATAAAGGCCGACCAGAAACACACTGTGGGGAAATCCAAGGGAAAGCTATGGCTCTTTGGAAAGAAAAACAAGGTAAAGTCATTTGTTTGTGAAAGAAGCGACTCTTTCTACAATTATGGTGGAGTGATGCATCTAAAACCAAATTTCTCACCCGATTCAAATGAATATTGATTTTGATAAATAAGAATACTTTCCATTCAGTCATTTTCTACAGTTAAATTAAGTTCTGATCCATTAGTTTTTCCCTGTTCATTGGAAGTATATTGTTTCTGGTTAAGCTTGAGTTTCAACTCATTTAGAATTTCACTGTGGAACAAGAATTGGTTCATTTTGTTTATCAGCATAAATGATTTAGTGAAGATCTGCATGCTATTCTGACTGGGATTCTTCAAGACATCACGGTGATTTGGGTACAAACAATCCTAAGCAGTTTACCCTCGTCAGTGCAACAATATATGACATACATGTGGTCCTTCGATATTTTAATTTGGTTGATGGTAAGTGCCTAGAAATGTAGGCTGTAAAGGTAGGGGATCATTGTTTTTATTTTGGCCTCACTCTTTATGTCACCCAACACACATCCATCTGAAATATTGCAATTTCGTGAACATATAGCACCATTTACCTTGTGCCTTTTTATCTTCTTCCTTATCTAATTATTTTCTAAATTGTTTAATAGTGATTTTTTTCAGTATAGCCTAGAAACAATTGCATTGTAATCACAGTGCATGTAAACATAACACTGTTGCCAGAGGGATGTGTGCTGAGTGCCAATATCAAAAGTTTAAATTTTTTTTAGTTTTGTTTTTTTACATCATCCACCAATCCCTTTCGTCCCCTACCAGTTCTTGCTCATCATTTGTTTTTTATGGGCTTCAGTCTCCCAAGTTCTATCGGGATCCACTGTCTTACTGTGTGAATGAGATAAAGACAGTGAAACCCAGAATTCCTTCTTTCAAGAACTTCAGAAGGGGGGTAAGTGGTTTATGTGGACAGTTTACATTGCAGCATGTGGCTGATAGATGTGGAGTTTTCTATTGGGGCTTCCATGGTTAGCTCATCAGTAAATAAAACTTTGTATGTGACTATTTTACCACTATCTATTGTATGTTTAAACTCCACTGATCCAAACCATCTGCTTTATACAGTGACTTGATATTTTAGAGTTCAAATACACACTTAGATTTGCAATGCATTTTTTTGTAATGGACAGAGTTGCAGGTGCAACTATTTGCATTTCACTCCTAACCATAAAAGCCCTTTTTTATTGATGGCTTCATTTCAAAACAGTTAAGCGCCGCTCTACTCTGATTGATGCTGTTTTGTGTGTGTTTGTATTTTATGCTACATTAATGGAGTTGCATGATTTGCGACATGAGGAATTTTCTGTTATTGTTAAGAATGTTTTGGTGTGAACAGAATATTATAAAGAATATCTCTTACAACAACAACTTGCACTTATATAGCGCCCTCCATGCAGAGCAGTGTCTCAGAGTGCTAAAGAGTATAAGTATATGGAATCCTTTATTGTCGCACTTCTATGTGCTTGGCGTTCAGATCTATTGTTATTGCAAGGAATTGTAGCATTTTAAGATTAGAAATATATAGAAATAAATGCTCAGAAATAAAGCGGATGACCATTATATTTGCATTTATGTTTAGATAGAGAGATTAACATCTAAATGAGGGGAAATTGACCAGGTCACACATTTTTGAGTTTGGTGACCATATTCTAGACCATATACTGGAACCATATTGATCATGACATCTTCCCCACCACCTCTTTGTGTGTTTAAATAAGAATACAAGAAAAAAATTCTTATCAAGGCCATGACTACCAAATGATTACCATGATTAGCCCCCCCACCCCCCCATTATGGATTCCCAACTTATTAATTGAATGAAAGTTCTGCATAAATACTTAGAGGTTTTTTTATGTTGAATATCTGTGCTGAAGTCTGTGTGTGATTTTGAAACATGTCTGCAGTGTTGAATTTTGTGACATTTAAAGTTGCAGCATTCCTTCTTGCTCCTTGTGGAAAATATTACATAATCAATATTGTGCAGTACTGTGGGTGTACCTTACAAAACTCAAAAGTACAAAAGCAGTCTTAATTCTCATTTCTTGGATATGGTATACTCTCTTAATATCTTTGACTACTACTATTGTTTTGAGTTTCTGATGATGCATGTTGAAGCCAGCTTGCCTTAGCAAGGGAATCGATCCTGCTGAGATATTCTCTGAATGGAAAATCAGCATTCATTGAGTCTGAATGCTATTTATGTACGTTATGATCACTTTAGATACTCTTTGATTAAAGAGTCTTATCATAAAGAACAATACTGTAGTATTTTGCATGAAGCATTGTTTTTAACATTAAAAGGGAAATCAAAAGAACAAGTTTATTTTGGATGTCATAATGCAATAATGTTTGCATCTAAATGACTGAACCTCCTTGTACATTTATAGTGATTAATTTGTCACCTTTCAAAATTCACTGCAGTACACTTAGTGATTATTTAGAAACTGAACTTATGTAGGGATGCAGCAGCTTAAATGTGTTTGATGCTATTTAAATGCTTGCATACTATTTTAATTGGTGTAAGCATAGACAGTTTATAATAATTCCTTTCTTTTTCATATGAACTGAGAAGCTTTCAATAAAGCTGGTAAGCGCCACATTGAACAACATAATCTTTTAAAAACTGTAGTACTCTATAATGAAAATATTTATGGTTGTGCTTTTTTTTAAAAAAAATAACCTTTTGTTTTCTAGGCCGTTGAACCTTTTCTAACTCTTGAATAGTGTGATTTTACTATTTGCAAGAAATGTACTTGTTGAAATGTTTTCTTAGAGCATTTGCTGTACTGTTCTCCATTTCCACTCCAACCCACATACCCTTTGCTAAACAAACAACGCATGCGAATCTTTGGTATTATCCATTTCTGGCAGGTTCTATACACGGTGTTTTTTTTGTAAGTGAAAATTAGTTTTTCACTTTAAACCATTCTCTTATTGGTTTCAGCACCCCCCCTTCCCCCCACCCCCAACACAAAGCCTATATATAGCTTGCCATCCAGTAGGCAGGAAGAACACAGGAAATTTTCAGGATGTCAAACTTCCTGCAAATGATGTCCAACCCTGGAGTTGCATATCATCTTGATTCAGAGTTAAGTAGGTTATCCCATATATTAAATGCTAGGAATTCTAGGAAGTCTAGGAATACCTGCATAACATTAGTCTTGGAAATTTTTTATTTATTTTCCTATTAAATTAACTTTTTTTTAAAATGTGTGTATTGAACTGACATTATTAGGTATGCAGACTTAGCTACCCCTAGCTACCTCCTTTCCAAAGGTTGAGCTAAATTACCCAGCCTCACACTCTGCATTTGCACATTCACCTACTCCCCCTTTCATCCCAGTATATTATAATCCATCTATATTGTGTTTTTTCAATATATAATGTCTCTTAATGTTGGGTCCAGCATATGAGTATGTTTTCTTCGTGCATGTTCGCTCTTATAAAGCAATTTATTGATCCAATAAGACGTACAATGAATGATATACTTTTGCTGCCTTTTTGTGAAATTGAAGATCCCAGATTTGAGCCTTGGTCTCAGCAGATTTTGTCAGCTGGCAGCAAGAGCTTGCAAATTAGCTTTGGTGGAAGAGAGGGAGGGCATCATTAGCTTGGGTCCCACTAATTCTGTGAACTCTGCTTTAAAGTGCACACGTGTGAAAATTTGGTTGAGAACTGGATGGGATCAGGCATGTTGCTCATAGGTTGCATAACCTGTCAACATCTAACCACACCCAGCATGAGAAAAATGGAAAGGAGTCCGAATGTCGAAAGCTAATAGTGAATTGATTGTAGTAAAACTCGAGGAGTTGCTTGTTTAACAAAAGCGTTAACAATTTTATTCAGACATAGAAACTGAATGTGTAAAAAAAAGAGTATTTTTGATTGAATATCTAATGGAATGTTTTTCAATCATAATGCATTAGTATAAGGATTAGAGCAGTCTGTTCTTTCTATTCATACTGATCATTTTGCTCTTAAGATGTGCAATAACTATTACGCTTATTCTGTGTAACCAGAGTAACCATTGATTTCATCTTTGTTTCAGGGTTCTCCGTTGGAAGACTTCAGTCATCTGCCACCAGAACAGAGGCGAAAGAAACTGCAGCAAAGAATTGATGAACTTAATAGGGAGTTGCAGAAAGAAATAGACCAAAGGTATGAGGGCAAATAATGAACTGTTGTGCATATACAGGAGATATCGGCTGCGATTTTAAATTGTAAGGGTGGTGTACAATTCTAAATTATTCAACTTGAGTTTTCTAAACAATAAATAAAATAGTTGTGTGGTAGGTGAAAACTTTGGTGTGAAGTTACCTGGCACGTTCATCTATATATAGTCATGATGTGAATGGATTGTTACCATTGGATAAAGGAAACGTCATCATGTTTTTTTTTCCAGAGATGCATTAAACAAAATGAAAGATGTTTATCAACGAAATCCTCAGATGGGGGATCCTGGCAGCTTGCCACCAAGAATAACAGAGACCATGAGCAACATTGACAGACTGCGTCAGGAGGTTCAGAAGAATGAGGTAATAATGGAAACCAGAGACTTGCTATACATTAAAACAAAGTTATTCTGAGAGTTGAATACTCTGCGATTGGTACATCACTGTCAAGGTATCCTCATTCATGTCTAATCTCATTCACTCTATCTAAAACTATATACTTGCCAACAACTGAAACAGGAGAGTCTTATCAAAAATGTAATGGCAATATAAAACTCAAGGATTTGTTGACGTTCTTTTATCATATCTGCTTGAATATTGGTCCTCGCATTTTGCTCTGGTGATGATGATTGCAAACCGCCTTAATTGCCAAAATGGATCAAGTCAAGTTGTAACATTAAAATGTACATATGAAATTTGTGGTTGGTGGAAGAATCTTGAAGATCTGTTGGCTCTATTGATATTACTGAGCACATTTTACATTTTATTTAATATAATATACTACTGATAGATCCCTTTGGGTCTTAATCTGTTGCTATACTGATATTTTTAAGTCATGGCTGTCTGAAGTTGAAGGCAGAGGAACTGGAAGAACAGATAGAAGGTTAAGTGCTGGCACGTTTGACCATCCTGAGTCTAATCATCATGGAACGCCGGGAAGAGAAAGGTATGTATGCATTCAACAACTTTTGGCATAGGGATGGTTTAAACAAAAGTATATGTGATTGTAGTTGTGTACCTTAATTAAAACTGCTTGTACCTAGTCAACTCCACCTCCCTGCAACCAATGTAAAAAAAAGGAAATTGTATTAATCCAGGTGAAGTCTTTGGTTGCAAAATTCACTACATGTTAAAATTACTATGTAGCACTTTAACAATCTTTGATGTTAGACTCCATAAAAATGCAAGTGCATACTTCCGTGAGTGATTTCTTCTGGTGCACATCCAAGAGTAATTAAAGCTAAATGCCCTCCAATGAGTAATCAATGCCCCTGAATGTAATTAAACCAGTTAATTTAAACCCAGACATTTATAAAAACAAATCTTGACTAAATGTTTTAAAATGTAATTAACCTTTTCATATCACTGGATTACCATCAGCCCCGAAGGGAGTTACACAGATGATGCAAACCAGGAACAAAAAGGGCATCACAGAAATCCAGACCCACGCCAGGCCCCTGAATTTGAGGATGAATTTGAAGATGATGAGCCTCTCCCTGCTATTGGCCACTGCAAATCACTGTACCCATTTGATGGTAAGATTTTCAGTTTACTCTGAACTTTACACATGCTACATAGTATTTTCTTATCCAAATTTCCACAAATGATATAGCATTACCTTTTGATGCTCAGTTTTGTTTCTGAAAATTCTGCAATGAAAACCATATCTGCCAGTCAGCTTATTACAATCAAATGACATCTTGAAAGAGTTTTCTGCATTGGTTTTAACAATATATTTTGCAATTACCATTATGTTAAAATGGAGTACCAGCTAAAGCAATGTGACTTATCAATTTGTTTAATTAGAATTGTTCGTTTTACTGAAATAGTTCAACGTCCATTCAAACTGCTCTTGTTTTCTCCTGACTGGATTGTTTAAAACAAGGCAGCAGAAAAAAAACATTTAATGAAGATATTTTTAAAATCAGCAAATGTAGATTCTTTGCGCACTAGAACAATTTTAGAAAAATGCATTTGGAATTAACATCTAAAAGAAAAAAGATGGGTTAAAATTTTGTAAGAACACAACCTTCTCTTGCATTTCAAGCATTTATTTTAGATTTCCGACCGTTGTGATTTTTTTGTTATCTATTAAACTAAAAACTGAAGAGCATTCCAGAGCATGAACCAGAGTAGCTTTTCTACATGCCTACTGAGAATTGCATCAGACATTTTTGATGATCTTGCTATAGAGCAGCTTAAGCCAAATAAATTCTGCAGCTGTATCTGAAGATTTGTCAAATGTTAGTAGATGTCAATATTTATTTTACCTTCATAGGGCAAAATGAAGGAACATTATTGATGCAAGAAGGAGAGGTAATGTATGTTATTGAAGAAGATAAAGGAGATGGCTGGACAAGAATTCGCAAACAGAATGGAGAAGAAGGATATGTGCCAACGTCGTATATAGATATTACTCTAGAGAAAAACAGTAAAGGTGCAGTGACTTATATATAAATATAACCTGCATGTGGTTAAACGCTTACAGGGGCAGGAAAAATGGATTTCAATAGTTAACTGAAACATTAGGACTATGAATCCTTTTTCTTTCCGTGTTCCTGTTATTAAATTGCTTGTTCACCATGTGAGCCAAACTTAAGTTACTGAATTTTGTATTTGTTTTAGTTATTTGGAATATGGCAGATCTGAGTTATTGTATGTCAAAAGTATTTGAAAACCATTGAATCCTAATATTGTTTGATGCAATAATAATTGTTATCATTCCAGTTGCTTTAAATTGTGTGAATATCTATACAGGTGAAGGTTCTTGGTGTTTTCTAGATATTTTAATTGATTAATGATAGATTTTTCGATGTTTGGAATGTAACGTGTTGGCCACAGAATTTGTATTAATTTCAGTATGTTATCTAATACTGTTCCTTGGCAGTTTTATTGATAAATTTAAATAATTAAATATCTTACTATGTTTTGCAATAAATAACCTTTGAATGCCAGGGGTGCATTGAAGTATTAATGTTCATGATTCATCAAAAGCTAGGCATTTCACCTACATTTTAACTAAGAATGGTCTGGAGATTTTTACCTGAGTAACACTTTATGAATTTCTAACACAAAATCTGCCTTCAGCCAATTTAAACTGCATTGATTTTAAAGCCTGGGTGCCAATCTGATGCTTTCTTTAATTTAAGGGTTATTGGGTCTGTCTAAAATTCTGAAATTTCTATCTTTAGTTTTCTTTTCCTTTGGTCCAAATGAATTTAGTAATGGTGCTTTCTTTTTCTTTCCTCTGGACTGCAGGTTCCTGAATTGGTGTGTGGGTTCTTGAAACATTGGGCGAGGCATTGAAGGAAGTTGCATGCAGCTGCTCTTTTGGGTGGGGAAAGAACACTAGTTGAAAAATTGAGGCTAGTAGGTGAAAAGGGAGGAGGAAATTGCATGTTTGCATCAAGGTTTATTTTGTCACTAACATGATTATCGCCATTCTAAATGTAATTCATGTGCTCTGGTAAATCAGTAATATAGTATTTCATAAGTCTAACCATTGCCAAAGTTCAATCTCTCCAAAGTAAAGTACATACAATATATGGCTTGACCATCAGATGATATTTTTAAAACCTAGTGTTGTCTGCCTGTGCCATCCTACATGCTCACCCTAATTTGCTATTGCATGCCTTGTACGTCAGATTAAATATTCACTTCAGAATTTTTTCTACTGCACTGTTTGGCCTGTTTTACTGATGTTGTCACTGTTAGTCAATGTCACCCCTTGAAAAACATTTCACATCTGTAGTACCATTCCATTTTCATTTGTGCTGCTACCTGTACCCTGTACACTGCATGATTATTGTAGCGTGACGAATGTCAGTCTGCAGTTAAAATCTCCCAAGTGCTAGTGTTCATTGTTGTCTGTATACAGTATATAAGTTCTCCTCCTTCCTTGCTTCTGGCCTGCAATTTTTTTGAGTATTGAATCAATCAACTGAAACCAAGAGTCATTGGAAGCATGAATCAAAAACTACATTTGGCTTCAGGAAAACAGAAAGAGTTCACTAAGACAGAGACAATTTGCCATAGATTGTTTAAAAAAAAAGTGCACCGTGGGCTCTGAAGAAACACCAACTATATAATTTTACCACTATTTCACTGAACATCTGCTGCCTTAAAATCCACTGTTTTAACAGAAGAGTGCCTAAATCTGCTGACTTGTCATTTTTCCAGTCATCTCTCATAGGCTTTCCTGTGTTTCAGGCTCATGACAGCTCATTGGTTTGATTGATTTGTGTATTATTCTCTTGATACTCCAGCTGCTGATGTAGGCATATATAGTAGATAAATGTATTGTAATACTTGAGGAATTGTGCAACTAAATTTCAGTCTATTTATATTGTTTTTAATACTAAAGATTTGTATGGGTTAAAACAAAATTGTTTTTGAAATGAATGTTTTTTTAATTAGAATTTTATAATTTTTTCTCTTACCGGGTTTGACTTTTCGAAATAATATTTTAGTTAATATGACCTTATGATTTAATCGGAATAGCTGTACTGGTGCTGTATTCTGATGTGGCCTCATGTGTCAATATAGGAATATGTTGACTCTTGTGGATATTGTACGTAACCTGAACAATGTGCACTTTTATCTTGTTAAGCAGTAATGCAAATGCAGATGTTTTTTCAGAATACTTAAAACTGCATGAAATGCAAATATTGTCCTCTTACATGCTTGTCGGTATTCATTCTGTGACCCTAATTGTAGATTTTTTCAGTGCTGCAATGAATACATTTCTATTTAAGTAGGAATTTCTATTCCTACCTTTTTCAAACCCAATAACTATAAATATTTCTTACCTTTAAGAATTGTCCACTTTAAATAGATTTTTACCAAATAGATGTATGTGTTGGTGTGCGCGTGAGACAGACGTTCCCATATAGGAGCATGAGGAGATTGTAAAAAGTGTGGCACCTTTTGCAAAGTGCTAAATGATCTTTTGATTTGAAGAAACAACAGTGTATTGTACAAAGAGAAACATTAGTGTTTTGTTTCAAAAAATAATTTAATTAAAACCAGACAAGTTGAGATGGAAATGGCGCAGATAAGGAAGTAACACTTGGAACCTAGCCCAAATATGTGTTCTGGCATTAGATCCAGTAAAAGCAAATAGAAGTTAACAGGAAACTGTTTTCTGTCCATAGCTTTGTATAATTACCTACATGAATAACCCCATGAAACTATTTAACTAAATGAAAAAAATTCATTGGAATTAAAACAATTAAATAATGTCCAACAAAACATTTTTAAGTCTGTTTCACTGTGAATTCCTGGTAAACAAATACAATATTGTGAACAGATTAGTTACACACTTAATTTTCCATATAGTTGAGTAAATGTAACTAATCTGTTTAAATTTTAGGAATATTTGGTTTAAAAGAAATAACTCTTCATAAAAAAATTAAAAACAAAACTGTCTTCATGTTTCTGTATATTCAGTATGTATGTGCTTTCAAAGTGTGAAATCAGTATAAATTGGCAGTTCAAAGTTCACTTAAAAGTGTAGCACACAATTAATTTTGTTGTACTTCACTGAAACAAGCCAGTATAAGAATATTGGTGATGGGATGTAGATTAATCTCTCAAGAAGCCACTACTAAGTACGAATTATCTGATTTTTTGATATTTTCAGAGGTTAACTGTGAAAGTCCTAGAATGTAATAGAAAAGATATTTGCGTAGTTATAAATCTGCGGTTAGACAACTGGAACTGACTAATCTAGTTCATAATGTATGGCTTTTGCTTTGTATGTAATTTTAGACATGCTGCTTTTTGTGAGGAATATTACCAGATACGAGTAAAAAGGAAAACATTAACTCAAAAGATTGTACTTGCACATCGTAACATTTTTCAAGTTGTATACAGTGTGTGAGGATAGGGTTAAAATTGTAATTCAAGTTGTCAGGCAAAGTAGAATATAGGCTGAAAAACAGCTAAGATTTTGAATTAATGTTTATGTATGCCTTGATTTTTGACTTGTTTTTAAAAACACTGTTTAAATTACTTTGTTGAGAACTGTTTAAATAAATTAATGTATTCCACAGAGTTTTGTCCTATTTAACTACCCATTATATTGATTAATTTTTCACTTTGATATTAAACCACTTTGATAATTACTCACAGAAACTGCTAGCATCAATTTCTATGTTGTGTAAAAGACATTCAGTGGTAATGAATGTTCTTGTTGCTTTGTGCTGTTTGCATTTGTGAAATTAGGCACATCTAAAATATTACAGACAAACATATTGGTTTTATTCATAGAAATGCATCATTTGAGGCCATTTGATTTAAACCGAGACTATACAAAAAGGAAAATAGATCTTGCTTTCACTGAGTCCAAGTAGTCTAAGGAAACAAGATTTCACATGAGCGGCACTACCTTTGATCCATATGCATATTAACGTCGACAGCAGTAACATTATCCTAGGATCTTCTTTTGGTAATGAGTAAATGCAGCTCAGCCTCCTGAACTAAACCGACATTTCAGCAAAGGAGGCACTTGTGTCCATTCTATTGCAACCCGCTTTTGTAAGCTGGCCTTTTCAAAGGGCAACCTAATTTATAACCTGGTGATATGGGTACATAAACTGAGCCTGTTTAAAATAAAGCTTGAAAACGTGGTTGACCTCTGAGATGTCAGATTACTGTTGATGTCACTTCCTGCATGCCATATGCAAGAAGCCAATTTTAATTCCTATGCAAAGTGCCTCCCCTGGCCTCACAAGCTGCCACTGCTTAACAGTTTAAATGTTTTGAAAGTTTATTGGACCCTTTAATTGGGTGATATGCTATAGCAAAGTTTAAGAACAACTTTGTTTGCTAATACTGACAAAACAGGCCATTGGTTAGTCAGGGAATCAAAGTTATATTATTTGGAACAAGTTCAATTGACACATGTTGAAGTCTTTTAAACTGGGAGTGGTTGCATTTTTGAATCTTTCAGCCACCATAAATAGAAGTATTACTATAAAGACAATTTTGCCAGCTGTTTCTCCAGACTTGTGTTACAAAAATGTTTGTCTATTTTTATATTTTTCTTTCCTATTTTTACAAGATCTATTCTCAGTGAAGACAGAATACTTTGGCAGCTTTTCTAGCTGAGAGTCTGTACTCGATCATGAACTAGTTATGCTGCCTCTTATTTTAAATCATTTGAATCAATTATTTATTTGATCAATGAAAATGTTTTGTTATAGTCATATTGTCATGCAAAATAAGAAATCATTTGGATTTTGGCATCCATAAGATGTATTCTATGGTAATTGTAATAGTAGCACCAGTCCAAAACTGATTCTCTTCCTAATCAAGAGCAATATGTTGTGTTCATACAATAGGGTTATTTAATAGAATTACAGATATTTTGTGAGAAGAATGCATTGCAGGAGGTGCATTGCATTGTTAGAGTTGTTGATCTTGGTATGGGATGTTAAGCCAAGGTTCCATCTGCCTGTTGAGTTGGTTGTTAAAGATCCAGTGGCACTATTCAAAGAAGGAGTTTTTTCTAGTGTCCCAGCCAGTGATCCTCCCTAAAATTGGTTAAACTCGGCTAAAGACCTTTCTCTTCGACAGCGCCTTTGGGTCACCTTCTTCCTCCTTGGCTCGGCCCCGGGATCCATTATTGTGAAACACTCTTGAGACACCGTCCGGTGTGGAGGGCGCTATTTAAATCCACTTTGTTGTTGTTCATTTCACAATGGTTTGTGGGACATTACCGGATACAGATGTGCTGCCACTTTTAGCTAAAAATGGTCATTACACATACAGTGAGATCCTGTGAAACACTCGGGACATTTTGGTGACTCGATAAAGCGCTAAATCCAGCCTTGTTATTATGGAGATTAAACATCGCCAAGAGCATGCCATTAAGAAAAAAAACAGTATTCAAATTAAAAATTTGGGTTCCCTCCTCAGCTGTCAATAAATGGCCTGTGGGGTGAGGCACAAAGCCACATAGACTGTAAAATCCCTCAGTGTGCTGTTCTCAGCTGGGTGGTGCTACATAAAATTGATTGTGAATTGGGAACCATGATAACATAATCACAGTAGGCTGACCTTGCTTTTATTTGAACAACTTCTGATCAAACTGCAAAGAAGGAGTGGACTTTGTTCAGCATTTCGTAGTCCCCAAGAAGTCTGGTGTCTAGCCTTTTGTGAATCTTACCGACATCTGAGGAAGTTTTTGAGAAATCAAAAAGCTTGAGATGATTACAGTGAATCAAATCATGTATCCAGTATTCTCGGCAACCAGGATAAGTAAAACTGTACAAGTTGAATTCTTCTTTCTGTAAAATATTCTTGTTATAGCAATAGGCAATTATGCATGCATGATTTTAGGGCAAGTAAGATTGTTCATCACTAGCATGCAGCACCAACAAAATCACAGATCAAATCAATTTTGTATTCAAAACAATTATTTTTACTCGGCTGTGTGATGAATATCAGATAATATTCTTGGGTCCTTAATCTGTCTAAGCAGAGATGAAGCATACTTTGAATTTTGAATACATGTTCTGTCATAGTACTTTGTGCAATGTGCTTTTTCACCCAGTACTCTTACTAAAATGAAGTATGTCCAGGCTTGAGTCAACTAATTTATGGAGGCTTAACAAGTTACTTTACCCTGCTATTAATTGAAGTGACAGATCTGGTTTCTTAGGATCTTTATTGCAATCTTTCATGGATTCTTTTATTTGCAAATCTAATTGTCCTACCACCTAATCACACCACTAAAGTGGAACAAAAATCTATTTGGCTGAAGTGCTCTTGATGTCTAGTCCTGAATGTAATGTACAGTAATTAAACTGGATTTCTCTCTGGGAGCTGCTTATTATTAGGCTATTCTTAACCCACCCCAAACTGACTTTACTCTGCTGAAGGCAATGACTTAAGATGGGTATGATACTATGGTGTTGGCCTCTCTCCAGTACGTAACCTAAATGAAAAGTCTTGATAGTTATGGTCAGAAAGTGAATGTTGGGAAACTCCCACATAGTGGGGTAAGGCACAGAAACAGGCCATTGGGTCCAATTGCTCTGCTGGAGTTTATATTCCTATACCCCTCGCCTGTACAACTCTTATTTCCTATTTTGAAGATAAAATACTCCTTCCTCCATCCTCCTTCATTGCTTCCCTTGTATTAATCTGCTGATGTTATTTGATATACTTAGATCTATTTATGTCAGCAAGTAAAATAACAAACGTTTAGTTTTAATCGGACAGCTACAAATAATTCAAATACTTATGGCGGTTTTACGTTATGGGATTCAAATACTGTGCTTATCGACTTTCAATATCAGGCTTCCAGCAAAATAATTTCTTAAGGTTAAATGATTCATTTGGAAATTGCAGCTTGGGTTGTCACTGATACCTGTAAACTAAGGGAGTTCCCAGGTTTAGTTTGTGGTTTATAATGAGTTTAGTCGAGGTAGTGTTGGGTTGTTCCATTTCACCTCTGCATGCCTCGGCTTGAGAGAGAAATATTAGCCAAGATTCCAACTCCTGATTACTATCCACTGCTTCTTGCTGCAAGTACATGTTCCTAGCCTATTTCTCCAAACTATAGGGCCACATAAGGAATTTTATTTAAAAATGACTTGATGGTCGTCAATTTTTTTTTAAAAATCTAGTCTTCCTAATGCTAAGTATAGAGTTACTCTAGTGAACTAAATCTGAGCAACCAAGAATAAAAATGAAACCAATCGCTTGCAATCTTTAGCATTTAGAACTCACCAATGTAGGATGCTGAATATTCAGTAAGATTTTAATGATAGGCAAGCAGCTTATCTTCTGGTTTGGTGGGATTTCTTTACTCTGCTGAGTTTGCCTACTCAGTCGTAGAGGGTATTTCCAGACCAGCATAAATACTGTAATTCTACCTCGATAGTTTAAAATTTCAAACAAATGCCAAAAGGTTGTAGAGTTCTTTGATCAGTCACTGCAGCAATTAAATCCTGAAGTGGGATAGTGGAGGTGGTTTTCATAGTAGTTCTCAAGAGAGAACCAGATAGGCAGGTGGAAGAGGAGCTTGAAGGGGTCTAGGGATAAAGCAGGGTCGTGGGATTGAAGCAAAATTCTCTGAGTCGGTGCAGGTTTGATGGGCCAAATGGCCTCTTTCTCCGCTATAGATTTCTATGTATGTAACCTTGAGTGCAATCTTGTGAAAAGCCAGGGGTGCAAGTTCCATATGAAGAACACAACATATTCAAGCCGCAACCAATAATTGACGTTGAATTCTGCCAGAGAACTCTGCCCGTGTCTGTGAATATATTTTAAGAAGGAATGGTCCATGTAAAGGTAGGACGGCGTTTCTTCCGGCGTATCTCATAAACATTGATAGCGCCTTGTGGCAGAGGACTCGTGCATTGATGAGCTATCACCCTCTATACTGTATCTGCTGTTTGATTCACTCCTTGCTCCTGGTGGTTTTGGAACGGTACCGAATAACTTGCCTGAACACATATGGATTCTATGAAACAAATTCTGGCCACATGATGGAGACAGTGAACAAACTTCAAACTGCGTTTATATTTTTTAGCACATCTAATGCCTATGATAAAACCTAGACTGTATTTAGCGCAATGTTCGTCTGTTTTGTAATATAAATAATGCAATGCCAATGGGGTGGTGGAGAGGATTACCTTATTTGTGTGTGTGTGTGTCCTTTTCTATCTCACACACACATATCATTCTTCACCCTCTTGATTTCGGTGTGTAGTGAATGAGTGCACTGGGGTGCCTTGGGTTCCTGTTTTCTCTCTGGCCCTGTGAAAACTCCAGGCCTGATGATTCCCTTTGGCATCTGGCCCTGGTCGTATGACCCAGATCTGAAGCTTGCCACGTAGGGAGCAGTGTTTTGGACTGCCAATTCAAAGCCTTTGTATTTGAAAGCTCAAGTCTTTTCTCCACTGATTAATTTCTATGGGTGCCTGTTCTCTGAAATGTGTAACATAACACGAAGGAGCATTTTCTTATAGTGTGCAGTAAATTAATGACCCATGTGCCACTTTTATAAATATGTGCACTCTTGTTGATTTTTCACTGGGTTAGGTCACTTTGACATCTTTATTTATTACCACAAGTGTACATGCTATTTTTCAGTTATGTAAACTAATTGCCTGAAGGATCCTGTTACAGTAAGTACTGTATAACGGAAAACTTTCCCAGTATAAACAGTTTTTTGATGGGACTTAAATACATTACATGGGAGCATAACAATTATGTGAAATCAGTGAATTGCTGGCAAGAGATAGGTTTGTAGTTGGTATAATGGGTGAATCGCTGTGGTGAGACATGGCCTGTATTTGTCTTACATGGGGTGCCAGTCATACCTACCTCATCTTTGCCAGCAGTACTGCAAAATAATGTAGTGCTGCTCCATCTGCAGACCTTGAGCACTATCCCGAAAGGAATTTTAGCTCTGTCCTCTGGACGGTCCAAAGCTGAGAGAGGGTGGTATTTTTTTGTCGGGCCCGGTACAAGGAATTAATGCAGAGATGGAAAAGGTTCAGTTAGCCTTGGATAAGTGTGGGCGGACTGCTAGTCAGAGGAAATGTGAACCAGTCGACACTATTGGTTGGACCACATGTTTAAACAAAAGTTTGCGTAAGTAAGTGAGCTCCAAACTGCTGAATGATAGTTCTTAATGATTTACGTTTTTAAAAAAAACTTCTATTAAACATTTAACTTTGTTTTTTAATCACTTTGCAGAGATGCAGGTGAATGCACTTCTTTGTGTGTGGCAGAAGGTTTTTGTGGTTTACTTGGAACTTAAAAGCAAAAACAGTCAGTGTCAAAAAATAAAGTGGAAATGTGAGCCACACAAGGTTTGAAGGCACTACTCAAATTCTGAAGTGTTCAATCAATTCATCTTAGAGCTGACCTCAAGAATGGAGGAAATGGACACACCTTTGATGAGACTTGTAAGGCTGGATTGGTTTCCATGGCATATCTTCTCTGTGTAAAACTTGGCTCTGACTGCTTCCCAGATTCCTTTTAGCATAGGCAAATTGCTGATGTTCTGATGCTTAGGGACTTGTCATTGATTTGACAAATATCTAAAAATAGTTATGTATCTGGATTGAAATTATCTTAAGTGGAGCTCCAGGATGTATACCTTTGCACCTTTAATTAACTGGGGGGGGGATCTAGTTCCTCATTAGTGTGCATTTTGCCATAGCACTATTGTTTGGGAAGGAGGATGTGGTATGAAGTGGGAAATTAAGTACATTGATTCTCCATATTTCTCCCAAAAGCAACTGGAAAATTCCTGCATCAGCACTCCAGTAAATGTACATTGTGCACCACACTACTGTCATGAGTCCTCTACCCTGACTAATCTTAAGTACCCAGTGAATTTAAAATTTGAATTGAGGGTTAAACAAAATTTGGCTAAATACTTGTTGAAAAGCAAATAATTCAGGAGGCATGGGATAATTACTGAATTTCATTTTTTTTTCAAAGAACAAAAGTTTGACAGAGAGAGACGAGGTGATCAAGAGTAATGACCAGAACCGAGTAGGTAGGGGCAGCTTTATTTATGAGAGATTCACAGTGATTGTAAAGGAATAAAACCTGGGTAAGCACAACACAAACCGAGTCCTGTGATTTTATTAGATCACATTAATACAACATCTGGACACTACTGCATAAAATATGTCATTTTTTTTTTACAGAATTGTATTTACATGTTCTTGATTTTACAGTAAGAAAATATATTAAGTGAATGAAGCTTTCTGGCCAAAGTCACACCAAATTTTACTGTTAATATTTACAGCATCCAACATTGATACAAATTTCACCAATCAATTTATATCCACTGGGACATCTAACACCTTCTGGTTAAACTAGGATCTGAGCACAGCTATAAAGTATTCCCCAACGAGACCGAATACATGCTAACACCTCAGCTTCACAACACCTTGTTGAATTGCCTCAAAGATCACAACATATTATAAAATGTCACACAAGAGGACAGTAACAACGCATTTCAGAATTCTAGTTTGCAGATAGTGAGAACTCAATAGGAATGTTAAAACATATGCAAGAAGTCGGTGCTGAAATGCAATGGTAGATGGAGTAGTAGTTAAAACACTGATACTTGGAAACAGTGGTGCTATTGCAATAATGAGGAAGTGTATTAGGAAATCTTTATCACATGTTATGTTCTGACATAATATTTTCACGTCTGTTGGCCTTTCGGTTGTTTCTACTGTGCTCAATGACGGATCGGTGGCTCAAGTTTCCGCGATAAAGCTGTTAAGATCATTATAAATTTTTCATATCGTTCCGTTTGGTTGACTTGTGCTCCTTTGCTTCCCCACAACAGTCTCATTGCAAATTCAGTCTTAAACGTCTCGAGCATTTCTTCATCTGACTGGAAATCTAAGGTTAAAAAAACAAGAGTGAATGGAGTAGATAAATAAACCTCACCCCCACCGCCCCAGCCTTCCATGTGAAATACCATTTTATTTCAAGATCTTAACATTCTGTTCTGGCTGTAAACCAATCTGCAAGAGTGGTTTCAAACTAGAAGTTGTTGCACAGCTTCACTGTGATATGGAATGGTTTAATAACTGGTGCTGAACAGTGGCTCGCAGGGAGGAGGAGAAAGAGTGGATGAAAGTGATGAAAGCGTACATCAATAGTTCACGCCTGTGCGAGTTGCAGATTTCGGCAATGTGGTTTTGATCAGGAAACACAGCTATGATACACCACTTGATGCCAAATGGTAGTTGTCTTGGTTGTCCTTTACACCTTCACTGAACATTTTTCTCATTTTATTCATCCCAAAAAAGTCAGTGCACTTTACAGTATGTCCTGTGAAATGCTTTGGCATGTCCTCCCGACGTGAAAAGGCCTTATACCGAAATGTAAGTATGGTTATTATACTAGGATGCTTACCTTCCAGAATCTTTTCTGTGTTGGCTTTGTGTGTAGCAGCATTCTGTGTGATGGAGCGGGCATTCTCCAGATGTTTGAGCATTATTTCACAGCTCTCATCATTATTTTCCCACAATTCAGTACCTTCAAAGGTGACAGATGGACGCTCTATCAGTGTGATTAGGGGCAAGATAAGTGGTACTGTTGTGTTGCTGAGTGGAATTTCCTCTAGAAGCATAAAGAGAAGTGTCAAGTCTTGAAATATCAACTGCAATATCCTACATATCACAAACTAAGCATTTAAAAAGCTTGCATGTTTTCCTCACATCCTTTTATTCAGTAACTCATGCGACCATTGAGTCATTTTTCATTTATTGGAAAATTGTGAAGTGCTGATACTTATTTTGAGCAAAATTAACATTAATTTTACAAGCCTGACTATGGAATGTGTGATAAAATTATGGGGGGGGGGAGGGGATTGGCAAGGTGAAACTTTCATTGAACTAATCTAAGGGCAGAAATTGAACCTGAGCACATTCTGTTCATACAAAGACACGAGTCAGTGCTGCCCAAACCAGTTTCATTATGAGCCATCACAAATTAAATGTTGCAAAATACCCACCTTTTCCCTCATTTAGAGCTTTTATGAATGGTTTAAGAGTCTTCTCATAGAGGATAGCATTTTGGGTGTATTTGTGCCTCAGTGCGATCCAGGTTTGTTCTAAACGTGCAACCTGGTGGGCAATGAGAAGTGAAGTTAGGCAATGAAGAGTGGATCCCACGACAATAATACTCAGCCTAGGGATAGGAGCACTTATTGATAAAGATTAAACTTATTGTTCCTGCTCTTAAATATTTGTTTCCTAAGGTCACTTTGCTTAGCAGACATCATATAATTAATAATCCTTGCATCTAAAAATCACCCTACAGTTGTAATAGACTGCAAGCAACAGAGGAAATCACAGGAAATACTTGTTTTCCTATGAGAAACCATGATTATACTGAATACAAAGGCTCCGATTACTAACACTGCAAATGACAACACATTACTGGTTCACTCTACTGCTGTGGCTAGTTTCAATGATGTATTCATGTGATTTACAAATTTCCTATTGATGGTTGGTCTGAGCCATGTAATGTTTTCTCCTAGATATGAAAGGTAACATTGACTGGGTTCAGTGTAGAGGAAGAAGCATTTTAACTAATTTCAATAAACTAATAGGATTAATTCTGAATGTACAACTTAGGCGATTATACGATTTATAAAGATGAGACTTTTGAGAGTTTTACTGTATATTATAAAAGTAAAGTAAAATTACCTGTGGCATGTCTAAGGCTTTCATTACAGCCGAGAAAGCGTACAGATCTCCCATGGAATTTTTCAGTTCCAGTGCGAGTTGGATGAACTTGTTTAACACTTCAGCTCTTTCTTCTAAACTTCCTGTGCAGCCAAGGATATCCACTGCAATCCCAATAGCCATTGTATTGTGCCTGAGAAAATGCAGGAAGTTAATTTATTTTCCCCGTGAGTTTTGCAAGCCCTTTGACTGAATGGCGTATCACATATGGCCATTCCTGAAACATAATCAGCCTTTGATTTAAAACATAGGTTTACACCTTACCATCATCCTTTTAAATGTTAGCTTCTTGCACCTCAGTTACAGTTTTAATTTGACACTAACTGGACACCGCTAACTTGACCCAGTAAAAGAGGCAGCGCTCACCCTTGCTAATAACTGGCTCAACCTTGTCCACATCTGCAGCATCTCTGTATCGCCCCTCACTTTGCACAAGTTCCTATTGACAGTCTGGTCTGATGACTGATGAACCTCTGAGCCGTATAATGGTTTCACCTAGGTCTGAGAGGCTAAAATTCACCGGCCTCAGTGTAGAGCCAGAAGTATTTTGACTAACTTTAATACACTGCTCACGATAATTTTGGACTTTTTAGAAATTGGGCACACTAGAATCTGTTTTCTGTGTTGGTACATCTTTTCGGTGCAGCCTTTGAGTGCTGCTATAGTTTACTGTATAAACAGTGCAATCATACTGTTTACCTTTCTATTAGATCCAGACGCAGTTGATGCCCATGAGACAGTGTAATAAGTTCCAGACCTGAGCTCACTCCCATCTTTGCCTCCATTTCTTCAGAAACGTCAAGTATCCTAGCAACCTGGAAAGATCAAAAGTCCCAATTTATTATGAGCAGCCAGGACATTTTTTGGTTTATTAAAAACATTTCAGTTCCTTCACATTCAAACATTAATTAATTAGCTTTACTTGATGGCCAACTGGGTAAAGGCCCCGTCTGGCTTAGTACTAAATTAGACTGGAAGGTCGCAGGTTCAAATCCTGTTCTGTGCTGTTAATTGATCTCAGCCAGAACAGTGGTTGAGGTTTTACAATTGAGGTCTGAACGCTGCTGTTTAGGGAGTGAAAAACAGGCAGCATTCTTTTTCCCAGTTACTTGTCGGTGCCCGTAGTAGCAAATGTTGCATGAGGACACGATCGTTCTTGTCTGTGTTGTCCTGTCGCCTGCGAGGTGAGCCCACTTAATACTGCGCTACAGGATCCAAGAGTCATTTCACGGGGACTTCATGGGTGCAAACTCTCGACTGTCCAGTGCCTTGGGACGTCCTCCCAATGTGAAAGGCGCAATATAAATACAATTTGTTATATGTTGCGCGGAAATTGCTGAATTTACATTTTTTTACGTTATTCTGAATATAATCACGCAATTGGTTTGTACAAAAAAATGCAAGTTGGTCATTCGTTGAATGCATTATTCACTCAAAAACAGTTCTTACCTGGCTGTCCACTTTAAGGATGTGTTTTGCAATAGTTTTGGGGTCAACGTTGGCAAACAGTCCTTTGACGTGCTTGATCACTGATGTTTCCAGGGGCTTGTTGTCAGGAGGAAGCATCTTTGAGTTAAAGTCATTGGGTTTAAAACAGGAAACGGTTTCAAACACTGGTTTAAGGAACACAATGGCTTCCTTCTCTTCCTTCCAGTTTTCATCTGCAACAGGAATCGTGGACTGGAACGAGCTTCCCTCAGACATGCTGAGCATAGATTCCGATTTTTGAAAGAGGGGTTTTACTGGCTCTTCAGTTCTTAGTCTTTCTACATAACCGTTCTGTTCTGTCTTTGGCCCATCTATGGGAGTATTAGGCATTAGTTCAAAGCAGTTGTCTCTCTCGGGGTCATTCGCTAATAAAGGCGAGTTTGGCATTCTCATAGAGGGTACTTTGCTGGGTTTTGGTGGTGGCTTAGGGCAGAGTTGGCTGTCAGAACCTCTAAGTGCTTCACCAGCCTGTGTTTCCAAAGTGAGCCTTCGGACAATCGTTGGGCTAAGTGCAGGCTCGCTGCCGGTCCTGAACACTGTTGATTTGGTGTGAGCATTTCCTTCCATGCATGGTTTTTGATGTTGCTGTGGTAGCTGCTGATGCTGAGCTTTTGACCCTGTGAATAAAGCCAGTCACGTAAGTCATAGAGGATATCATTAAATAAAAAACTTCAGTTAAATAATTTGTTGAGTATTAAGTATTTAGGTCAATCGTGGATTGATGAGTTATTGGAGATGTAATATGAAACTCAGAACAATAAGATTCTTAGGGTTTTTTATTTGGTGGGAGTGTGGAGTTTCAAAAGGCAAATCACAAATTTTTTTCTACTGTTTTTTAAATTCTAAAATTCCTACATTCAAGTTTCCAGCAAGAAATTTAGTAAGTGCTCTACAATAAAGTTTGAGCGTAAATCTAAGCTGGATTCCTCTCTTTAATAAACCCTTTGAAGAGTTCGATATATCTTACGTAGATGTGCCAACTGAAGCTATGACTAATGCAAAACTCACCCAGAGGAAGGTAACTTTCAGACTGATGTGATTTCAGAGGTCGTCGTTTATCTGGAACATAGTCGAGACTTGCAGGTTGGCTGCCACTCTTGTCTTTATTTCTACAGTAACAGTAATAAAGAAAGATTCAAACACTCAATGGCCTTTGCCTTAGAAGTGCTTTAAAACCTGGGTAAAATAGCTCTTGTCCAGCCATCATGTTACATGCAAGCAGTCGAATCATTTAAACTGAGTATAAAAACATAAATCCACTGAGTGGTGGTGATGGGGCTTGAGGAATTCAGAGGAAGGATTTTAAATTACATGGAAAATAAACATGGCTATAGAAAAACAAAATCAATTTAACCTGCCGCATAACCTCACTTGGAACTGCTACGAGATCATTAATCTTTAAAGGTTAAAGGTCGCACAGATAAGCAGCAAAGCTGGAAAAAAGCTCAGAATCAATAATTAACAATGTGTGGCTTCCTTTTAACTGGATAGAGTCCATTACGTCAGCCAGGTTTTGGAGCCGTTTATAGGGCAAAGACGAATTAACAACAAGTACATGAGAAGGCAGCTTTAAAGGGTCAGAGCACAGTCACAATCTGATACCCAATAATAAAGAGCATATAGTAAGTACTCTAATCTTGCAAATACTGGAAAAAGTAGAACACATTTTGCTGCACCTATCAAAAAGTGTATTAATAGTGGTTTGAGTTTACCTGTTCCCACCCACAACAGCTGTGAGGCTGTAAATACGCGAATGAGACAGGGCTTTTATTTTAAAGCTACAGACACACCAGTTTTTTTTTTTCTGTACAGCAAGCTTTTGTCAAAAAAGTACCTTTAAAATGGAACGTTGTCTGTGATCTGTTGTGCTGATGAACTATTTCCTTCCTTATGAGAAACCTACCTTAAAAGACTTCCCGTTGCTAAACTGCGTTCCTGGGAGGGCCCATTCGACATATTCAAGCTCAGTCTCTTCGCTAGGTCCAGCTTTCCATCTGATGAATAGACCTGCTGATGCTGTTTGACACAAGCAGACATTCCATATTTCTCCTCAATGCATCTTAGTGGAAGAGTCCGGTTTATAGGCTGAAAAATGATTGCTCCGGTGTGCTCCGTTAGTGCTTTGCGATTCCCCACGTAGCTACGCACCAGTGCTGGGACACTGTCAAAGCTTTCTCGCTCAAACTGATATTGCACTCGGGAGTAGCCTTCGTTCAGTCTGACGATCACTTTCTTGATTTTAAAATGGTGAGGAATGTTTTTCCACTGGCAAGTCAGCACAAAGTTTCCAGGGCTGGAGAAAGAGTCACGGATCAAGAAGTCTCCATCTCTCTGGATAAGGTTCTCTGCCACCTAGTAATATGAGAGTGTGATTGGGGATATGTAGAATTTGTAACAATAATAATCACAAAGCTCTCGTATCACAGCAGTTTATAACACAACCTAGTTTAAAACACTCCGGAATATTAAAATATCAAAGGAGATCACAATCTTTCATTAATTGGAAATGAGCTACAGATCAGCCATGATCTAACAGAATGGCGGAACATGCTTGAGGGGCTGAATGGCCTACTCCTGTTCCTATGTTCGATTAGTTATAAAATCAGTTCATCTGTGGTCTCTATGGCCTTCACCTCCGATGCAGTTACATTTATGGTTGAGCACACTCAAATCAACTAAAGTGCAATGTGAAGAAGAAAAATAAGTCAGAATTGTGCCGTTATTTGCCTTCACTGCCTTGCTGAAAGTGGCCCGGATAAGTGACATCTGCATATCTGTATTCTAAGTATTAACACATTCTATGTCAACTTTAACCACGGCCACAGTGCACCTTAGTGTTGCTCCTTCTCTTATATTTGCTCTTGCAGTTGGGTTGGTGCAATGCTTCAGCCAACCTATGTGTGGGTGGGTGTGTGGTCTAACACGGTAACACGGTTATTTCCTCTATGTGGAGATGGACACTCTGCTGCATTGTACAGCTCATCATGATCCAGGGAGAGTCTAAACATTTAGATTGCTGACCTCGGATTGAGAGGCCAGTGTTCATTCAACTGAGAAAGTCACCTGATTGTACTGTATTTAACCATCTGCATAGCACTCAAAGCTATAGTGCCCACTTTAATATTCAAATGAAGTGCCTCAACACCGTAAATATTGCAATTTTCACCCGCAAAATATAAAATACAGTCAATTCATTTTACAGTATATTCTGGCGCTTTGAGACGTGATAAGGCGCTATAATCCAATGCGAGGATTATTATAAACCACATAATTTATGGATATTTAATTTATTAATGAGGTCGGCAATCAGGAGCCGACACTGCAAGTGAACAAGCTCTGTTCAGTCTCCACTACACAAGAGGCAGCCCATCTGCAATGAGGCCTGTAAATCTGCCTTTAATTCTGTCTGTCCAGCGTCTTGGGACGTCCTCCCAACGTGAAAGGCATGAAACAAATGTCATTTTGTTGTTTGTAAAGTTAGTGTCAGGTTCTGTTACTTTGAATGCCGGAGACTCACATGTTTGACATTTCAAAGTGTTTCATTGATAATCATAATTCTGGGTACATTCTGGGAGGGGGGGGGGCTTGGCTGCTTTAACATAATCATGATTTTAGTTTAAGATAAGAACAATTAAGTTGCGAGAGGGGCAGCTCTGGGGAGGATGACCTTATCTTCTGTGTAAAGGGATACAGCAATCTTTAAAGTCAGGGCTAGCCCAAGACCATACGGGAACCACCAGGGCGGTGGCTGGAGGACAGCAGTTCTACATTCCTGCAGGATTTCAGCAGGGCCTGTGCACTGATTGACTTGAATGTTTAACAGCCGAAGTGAATGAGAAAGTAAATGCGACCTCAGGATGAACAGTTGGTGCTGAGCGAGAGAGTGCTTACCTGCCCAGGGACTCGGCCATGATACCAGGCATGGCTCCGTGGCTCCTCACTGCTGGACTTTAACTCTTCCTCCAATTCTTTCTTCAGCTTTTCTGGCGTTGAATCCATGATGTATCTTTCCTTTGAAAACTGAAGGAGAAGTCAGACAGATCAGTTGTGCGCACATTAGAGAAAATCTGGCTCCATTCCTGCCAGCCCCGCTCCCACTCTCCACTTTGAAATTACTGATCGAAGTCCCAGAGGATCGCTCAGCTGCAGTTTCCCACTTTGCAGCCTTAAACCACTCTCCACCTTATTAATCTTAAATCAATAACCACAGGATATTGCACTGGGTGACATTGTTAATGATTACCTGTCGGAAATATCCTGGATTCAAACGCTACCAAAGTAGCCAGTAACTGCTCAGTATTCTCTTACAGGGTGGCATCTGTTACTAAGCTACTGATGACTGCTTTATTTGGACTTTGCTGACTCACTTATATAGTTAGAATTCAGTGACAGAAAAAAAATCATTTCCATGACTACATGTTTTGGGCACATTGATATATTCTGTAAGCAAACCTAAGTAATTGCTGTAAAGATACATTTGCTCAGCATCCACTTATCCATGATTTTGAGTTACTTGGAAAAACATATGATAAAATATATTATTTCCATCTTTTTTGTTCCTTTGTTCTTTATGGGATGAAAAGTGCAAGGGGTGAATTATCGTATGGTCGAGAATTATGCTCGAGGCCAGTGAACACTTATCTTGTACTCTCGACCACAATATTCAACCCCGTGATAATTAGCACCAGTGATTAATATCAACATCATCACGAATGACCAACTATGACATTGCACTTTGCACCTGATATTCTCTTCTGTGCATCTAGAACTCGAAAAGCTGATTCTCTGCGATAGCCCCACCTTCTGATCACAGTTCATTTCAGAAGCAATCAGGGAAAAATACACAAATTCGAACCTTGCGGAACAGGTTTCCAGAGTAGACCGACCAATGAAGTCGATGGCATAAATGTTCTTGTACAGTAGCACCCTCAAGTGGTCACATACATTCTCTCACACACACGCGCGGCAGGTATTATGTTCTAGCTCTGGGAGTAGTGTGGGGTTGGTGGCAATTTCTTTTAATATATCCTTGTCTAGCTCTCTCCCTTTGTAATACAAGGTACACATTGAATTACAGCAACCTTGGGAATTTTGAGCAATATATAGAATCAAGGAAGCGGTCCATTGCTTTTCAACACAATTATTACCAGTACACTAGAGGACAGAACAGTGTCCAATATTTTCTAGGGAGTACACACTGAGGATTAACAAATGAGTTTATGTAAGAATGTCATAGCTGCTGGACTGTTAAGGACGTATTATTCAGAATAGTCGATGTTACAGAGGAGAATGGTCAATCCAAGTTATAAATCAACAGAGTAACAAAGGGCATCTTATCAGCTGGTCAGCGCTGTCAGACATACAAACGTGGGCTTTTTTAAAATCTCTAGATATATCCAGTATGCTTTATCAGAAGAAGCTAATTCCAGTTACTAGAATACGAATTCTTAGACTGCTTCTAAGATTACTCTCTGGTGCTGAGGTTTAATGGAACCTGCCCAGTCCTGAAGACAAGCCAAAATGTGACACAGATCTGCTGATCTGCTCCAACATGTGGGTCGACTCAGCCTGTTGGCCAAGTGGATTCTGCGAGTGTATGTTCTCAGAGGTGAGCCAGCTGTAAGGACTGTGTCTGCTTTAGAAAGAAATGACTATTGACTAACAAGAAGCCCAAATATGAAATAATCTAAAGTCAGCAACCTCACTACCGCCCCCACAACATACAAACCAGAGCCTCTATAAGATGAGGAGCCTCCAGAGCACCACCCCACACTGTCCAGTACCTTGGGACGTCCTCCCGACGTGAGAGTCTCTAATACAAATGTAACTTGTTGTTGTATTTAATATATTTACAGGCAATTTGTAGAGTTGCATTGGGATGAATTGTGGTTTGGTCTCCAGGGTTAACATATTAATGGCTTTATTTGGTGGAATTCAATATCAAGTAATCAAAAGGGTCCATTCTGTAATATGACCAAACAACAAGAAATTAGAAACCGTGAGCAGACAGTCACATTGTTTTTTTTAAAAGCAGTGTGATTTCTGTTGCTCTCAGGATATACAGCTAACAAGCAGTGGCAGGACTGTCAACACTCACAGTAAAGAAGGCGAGAGTTCATACTCTTGCTGAAATACAGTTGAGGCACATGACTACCTGGTCACGAAGCAGCAATATATCAGTGCAAACAATGTCAGTTATGCAGTGTCTTCATTTTAAACTATGACAGACATGAGAAACATTTGCTAAGTCTATGATTGCAGAGATTAAAGTCACTGTTTGCTCCTCCCTTTTTTGCATTTCCTAACACTAAAACACAGGTTTAGAACCAATGTATTAGGTCTGGTTGCACTAGGCTCACCACACGCAGGGTTAACTACAAAGTCATTGGAAAAACCTACAGCGAAATCATCAATAAAATAGCATTCAAGGCATCTACAGTCTGACACCCCTTCAAGCGCAGTATGGAGCCCAACTAAACTACTGTGGAACACATCTGCAAAACAGTAACGTTTGACAAGTGTTGAAACTGAAATTCAGTGCACCTGGTGAGCTGGTCTCACAGTGCATCAAAAAATATCAAGGTAATCCCACTGACTTCAAAATATAGTACGAAGGGGAGGGGGTAGGGGGAATCAAAGTTAATCTAAAATAGGTGGCCTGCTGTGGGTCTGAGCAGACACATGCCCAATACGTTCCCCTATTTTTATAATCATCATAACATGTGGTTAGTAGTGCTCACCACACATGGCTTTTTAATAGTGGTTCAGCTGCAGGTAATTGCCACTTTCAATACACAAATACAGGCGGAACTTCGATCCAGACTAGAAAGTCAGACACAATAGAAGTCAGCAGCGCAGAATCGAGTGTCTGGCATTCTTGTTTCAGCAGTTGAATGTTTCCAACGTGATGTATGTTCAAAACTCCATTAAAAATCTTACCATCCTTGAACCAGGCAGTGACAGTGCATTTGCACGTACGTTAACCTGACACACTCGTCACTGTGCCAAGGTTACATTTTAGTTTGCCTTGTTCCTGTTTGGGACATCCTCCCGACGTGCAAGGCGCTCTATAAATGGAATGGTGTTGTTAGGAAGCTATGGCATTCAGTAAGTACTCTGTATCTTGCTAACCCTCATTTCAGCTTTGGTTTCTACGTCATCACATAGAAGATACATTTGCTTTAATTCAATCTGTACATTGTGGCTTTGATGCACAACTGACATTGTCAACATAACCTCACTCTTCAAGGTGAACAACAGCTCATCTTTCTAAATCATGCCCTCACCCTCAGTTTCCCCACCGTATCAGACCAAATTAACCCTCAGGCAAATCCTTTATTTCAATATTGGCAGGACGGTAAAGAAATGAACATTCCTCAGTTAATACTTTTGCCTGGAGACTGAGGGCCCTATAAAAACACATGGACTTCAGATTAGCTTAAAGTCTGCGCTTAGGAGTTCCACCCTGAGACTCTATCATTACATCTGACCACTGATGGGTTCTCTGGGTCTCGCCCTTCCTGTGCATACGAAGCTAAACTTCACAGAGATTTTCCTTTTGCTGCCATACAACGTCTTTTACTCTCGTATAAAGTCTTCAAGCTCCAGTTGGCATGAGGGAAGTCATTTAAAACTAGCTATTTTTCTGCATCACTGAGAGATGTTTCTGTTAACCTTATGGAACACAATAGTGTCCCAGGCAGCATGTACATACTTCCCAACTTTAAATTCACTCCATCTGGGATTTAAGACTCGGATATGTTTTTAGCTCAATCACACTTGGCTTTCAGATCTAAAGCCCAGATAACAGAGATGAAACGACCAGAGTTTACCACAATAGCAGCAAGGTCAAAAGATGGAACGTAGAGGAGCAGTTTTACACGTTACTGGCCACAACATGCAAGCTGTCAGCAATAATCTTTCTCCTGGATGATGGCACTGATTACAGAAGCTTAATGTGGTCCAATTTTGCTGCTGAACCATAATGCCAACTGCACAGAGCCTTGCTGACTCAGGTCACGCTGTTGAGCTATTGATTTCCTTTAAAAAGGTCCCTTGCTCTCTGTTTGCTGGATCCCCTTTAAAAGCCCAGCAATGTGCTAGCATTTACTTTTAGTTCCCAAGTCATACACTAAAAGTGCTGCCAACGCAAAGCCTCGAGGCCATTCCTTTCCACATAAATCACAGAACCTTATTTTCAGTGCAAGACTGGTTCAGTGCAATGTGCATGGATAAAACTCACTGACCAACACAGCGTGAAACTCTTAATCAAACGCGGTGTGAATTGTCATTATTTGTCAGTGTTTTGTTACTTGTGGATGACAGTAAGTCATATGCTTTTTTTTGATATTTTCATAGTTCACCAGGGGTCACTCCTAAGCAAACACTCTTCTAACCCCAGACAGAGCCCATCCAACACTAAACACTCTTGCTCTCACCCATGAGAACAGCTGGCTCAAAGTAAATGGAAAATTCCCATGACAACAACTCAGTTATTTTAAGTATTAAACATTCATGCCAAACTAAGCATTGTACATTGCCTAATATTATACAGCTAAACAAACTTTCTAACCCCAGACACGCAGAACAACAAAGCCTGTGTTCGTTCAAATTAAATTGAACATTTAATCGAGCTTTAAACATCCAAACATGTAAAAATATATATATTTTTTAAAAAATCAATGATTTTCAAGGTGTGAGTACATGCTGAGCAGATACGAATTTCTATCAAAAAATCTAACAACAAATTACATTTGTATAGAAACTTCCACTTCGGGAGGATGCCGGATAACAAACTGTCAAAAGATATTTCTGACATTAAAATGTTCCTGTCTTTAAAATATTGCCCTCCCTCCTCAAAACATATGGCTGGTTGTTGAATGTTAACTGCTGACAAGATTCTAAGTGCATTAAGGGAAAAGAGACATGTCTGTATCATAATAGCACTGTTAACGTTACACAAGGTACATTTTATCTTACTGAACTTCTAATGCATCATTAATTATACTAACATGTGCATC